CAGTAATGCAGTAATGCTTTAAATATTACATGAAAACATTTTTAAATTTGAGGAATCTGCGTGTGACTTCATGCTGTCTGTGCAGACGCCTCATCCAACTACGCCATTGATGCTGTCTTCGAATCCGATTGAAGCCAATTCATTTTGCACTGTATGGTATGCCAATACAACACTAGTATTTAACGCACACACGTTTAAACAGAGATCGACCTCTTTAAATATCTTCATCATCAGTATTCTGCCAAAGGCTGGCCTTATCTTAAAGGTTATCAAATGTTTTTCATGCTTCACCATCTTGTTCTAGTCTTTTCAAGTTGTCGTATCTACTCTTTTTCAGATCAGCATTTCCTTTCTTCTTCTTCCCCTTCCTCTTTTCCCTTCACATTTTTCTTCCAAAATCCTATCTAGGTTCTTTTGTCGTTTCCGTATGTGCAACAAAATTTCCGCTCTATTTTCTCTGTAATAGTTTAGTATATTTGATATTGTTCTATCCAGAAATGTTCAACTTTCTCGATCCTTTTTTAATCTCTTGTATACTTCTAAAGTTTCAAATTTAATGCATTTTAATGTTACTTTTATCTTCATTTTTCATGTATTGTGCCTGTATTTGATTGATGTTTTGATGTTTTAGTATACATGTTTTGTAAATATCGTGTAATTCAGCCTTGGGTGCGATTTTGATGTAAATAAAAGAAACTAAAACTGAATAGCTACGCCGCAATGAATTACATCATGGAGTGCCACAGTGTTACGTCACGATACCACGTGATACTACTCTGTTGCTATCGTTGCATAAAGCGTTCAACCGGGCGCCATTTCCTCACTGACACACCATTGATCCCAATTTCTAACGTAATTATTAATATAAGATGTTTGATCTTACTTTTTCTTTGTAAATTTTTATTTATGATTAAATGTGTGTTCGATAATAATGCGAGCTTTTGTGTTTTTAATACATTTTGATGGTAAAACATTAGATTTTAAAATGTCTATTCCAGAAAACCTATGAAGACTCAGGCGTAATGAACAGTAACTAACGTCCGTTAACAACAGAGAGCGCCACCTGGCGTCGTGACGACACGACTGTGGTTCTCTATGTAAAACAAAAAATTAACTACCGATTAAAGCATTCATAAATACATAATGCAAATCATTACTGTTAAATAATGGTACTCATGGGAATGAACGTATTCTAATGAAGTCTAATGGAAAGGCTTAGAACCAGATGGGCTTAAACCCAATATATATTTTATATTTTATATCAATATTCTCTGCTAATATTTTAAAACTATATAATAACTTTGTAAATTTGCATTACCACTTTCAATTTTATCATCACAATCATCTCCTTCCTCTTCAGTTTTATCATAGTCCTCATCATCATCATCAATTTTATTTTCATTATCATCACATCACCATAATTATTATCACTGTAGCTGAGTCTCGGTAGTGTTTGGTACTATGTTTTAAAACCAAAATCAATTTTCTCTATTTAGTTTTTTTTTTAACGTTGTACACAGGGTTTTTCTGCTCTCCACTTTGGTCGTTTTTCGTGCTTTGATTATCTTCAATCTTTGTCCAAGCAAGGACCATAACAATAATGTGCATAGTAAAAAAAATGATGTCAATCTACATGTTTCAATATTAGTAATTAACTGGTAATTAAACTAGTTTAAAGGTAATTTAACGCATAATTACAGCAATTTGAAACGCATAGTGAAACAATTTTCCAATGTGTGTCCTTTTGAACAACATTCTACAAAGTGATAGTCGAAAGCTCAAAACGTAAGTAGGCTTTATCCAGAAATACAGTATACGTTTTAATTACACCTTTATTATTAAATCTGGATAGATAAGTCTGCATCAGTGGACAGGCCTACTTATTATTATTGTCATCGCCATTAACATTCCCATCATGATTAATCATTATCATTATCGATATAGACTTGCGCAGGTAAAATACGCGACAGCTTCTTTCTGTTATAATTATTCATTTCTTTATTATCATTATTGTATATTGTAAGTGTCTCATAATTATCCACTGACACTACCGTATAATACCAGCATCTCTCTTATGACCTGACCTAACTATCACGTGTTGTTTCGTCAGATATCAAACCATGCTAAAGATCCTCTTCATCTGTCAACGATCGTATCTCAACTCAGTCGTTTAAGATTCAAGTGTTCCAATAACGGGAGAAAGATTCATGGATGGTACATTTTTTTAAATATTAATTTAGCATTATAGTAGTTGTTAGTTAATAATGTGTTTTAGTACTCGGACTTCTGTACAATTTCCGGAACAGTGAAACATGATTGTGGATGTAAAATATTTGGCATACGTAATTATATTCATAATGCCAAGATGCCGGCCAGCTTATTTGTCTAAGAAAATGAAATCGACTTTAAAATGCTTCATCCACGAAAGTGTTCCTGTTACCATTCAGGACGAAAAGCACTCGCGTACGCGTCAAATTGGCATATAGGACTAGTGCGATGTGTGCTATCGCATCTTATTGCGCAATCGCGTTGTCGCAAATATCTAAAACAAAGCACTAGTCATACTATTTGTAAATTGTGTCAAACATCCTAGATAATTAGCATAAATTACTCGTCCTAGATGCTCACTAGCCGTCACTGAGCCCGAAATATCTATTACTAGAACTCGTTATTACTACTTTGTGTCTCAATATATTTTCCAACAAGCATTTACATCAATGAGCTAAATGTCCTCTAAAAAACCCATAACAATTGCGGATTTTATTTTTTTCTTACAGTGTCATCAGCAATGAAGCCATGCTCACAAAGTATATTGTAATGTAAACTCTCACAGCTGACCCGGTTATACCTTGATAAACAGAATTAAGCAAAGTAATTCTGAAACTGTTAGATGTTGATGATTTTATATGGAACATGAATATGTTTTATTCAAAATGAAGAATGTTACTAGAAAAGAGATTTTGATTTTCTAATATAAAAGAGAAAAAAAGGCAAAAGGTGACTCATTATGTCAGGATTTCGGCACATCCTCTCAAAAGTCAATCGCAAAAAACTCCTTGAAGAAAATGTGCTGGAGACACCACTTGAAAGATGTCTCACAACCTTGGATTTGACGCTACTTGGTATTGGCTCCATGGTAGGTTCTGGTCTGTTTGTACTGACTGGTGAAGTAGCTAGAAACACAGCTGGGCCGTCAGTCAGTGTCTCGTACTTTATCGCAGGAATTGCTGCCCTGTTGGCAGCAATCTGCTACGCGGAGTTCGGTACGAGAATCCCTAAAGCGGGATCTGCCTACATCTTCGCGTATGTGACAGTCGGAGAAATCTGGGCGTTTCTTGTAGGCTGGAATATTCTCCTGGAGTATGTCGTAGGAGCTGCAGCAACAGCAAAAGCGTTTAGTGGATATTTTGATGACCTGACTGGCAACTACATCAATAGCTTTATTATAGATACTCTTCTTGGCGGAGAAGAATGGTCGTCAGACGTTTTCTCTGATTTCCCGGATATCCTAGCAGCGCTTTTGATTTTAATATTAGTGATCCTGGTCGCATCAGGAGCAGCTCTGTCGACAAAATTAAACAGTATATGCGTTGTGATCAGTCTAGGACTCGTTATATTCATGTTCATAGCTTCGATGTTTTACGCAGATGTTTCAAATTGGTCTGCGGGTGACGGATACTTGGCGTACGGGTTCGGAGGAACATTGTCAGGCGCAGCAACATGCTTTTATGCATATCTTGGCTTTGAGGTCATTGCAGTGACCGGGGAAGAAGCAAAAACACCAGCTAAAAGTATTCCTCTGGCTACGATTTACGCATTCATTGTTTCAGCATCGGCCTACATTCTTGCTTCAATTGGGTTGACATTGATGATCCCATATACAGACATTGATCCGACATCGGCCTTTTCAGCTGCTTTCGAATACGTGGGCCTAGATTGGGCCAAATACATAGTGGGCATTGGTGCCGTCCTTGCAATACTGACTTCTGCCTTTGGAAATATCTTCCCTCTACCTCGATCTCTTTACGCTATTTCAAGTGACGGCTTGATCTTCAAGGTGTTTGCCAGGGTGAACCCGCGAACAAAAGTACCGATATTTGGAGTAGTTTTATTTGGTTTATTCGCAGCTGTTTTAGCACTGGTATTCGATTTAGACGCCTTGGTGGAATTTCTTTCAATCGGGACATTGTGTGGATTCTCATTCGTTGCAGCGTCTGTAATCATCGTCAGGTACTCTCCAGAATTATGCAATATCTCTATTAAAAATCCACGGGGTTGCAAAAGGCTTTCTTATAACATGTCTGACGTAAGCAACCATTTAGAGGAAGTCAGGAACAATTGGCAGGACATCGATGTAGACAACAAGGAAGCATTAACTGGACGACTAAAAGAACCTTTTCGATGTTTTGACTTCCTAGAGAATCCCGTGCCTGGTGATACTGTCCTTTACTCTTTAATCATCAGCGTGTTATGTCAGTTTACTGCAATTGTTTTTGCAGTATATGCCGAGGAGAGTTTGGCGGAGAGAAAATGGTGGGCAATATTGTTTGTAATTATGTTTGGAACTTTGGCGCTACTGGCGTTTCTTGTGATACCAATGCACCATCAGAGTGAAGTGGAACTGGATTTCAAGGTACAATTATATTTCACCTAACTATTTATAAAAGATAAGTAGGAACGAATTGCAAAATATAATTATCCTTTGTAAAATGTCATCTGGTGTACGGAGTGGAACTGGCGGAATTGGTGAGATCTGCGATGTTTGTAGGCCTACAAAGAGTGAACACCTAAGTAACAGTGCGTTGACTTTGTGGACACAGTGTATTGACTGTGTGGATACACCGTGTCTACTAAGTTTACATCTGTTGCTATGTGTTCACTCTCTGCTTATACACTGCAAACCTCATTCCGGCCTAGTCTATATATTATAGTCAACACTGAGTGAACATAGTCATTCACTCTGCTGCAAACTCTGTACAATACATACAGTCGGTGCACCGGTCGGTACATAGTGTAAAGGATATTTAAACATAAATGGAATAATAATGGATAATTGAATTGAATAAAAGAGTCGATATGCCAAATAATTGCAGCTTTTATATAGTGAGAACAAGTTTTAATAACAAGAATTTGAAAATAACAATAAAATACTTTTATATATGTTTAAGGTACCATTTGTGCCGTACCTTCCGGCCGGAAGCATTTTGTTAAATTTGTTTTTAATGGCGGAGTTGGATAGCTACACATGGCTTCGTTTTATCATCTGGATCATCGTAGGTTAGATATATTATATTGTATGTTCATAGCCTATGTTCACTTCACTTCTGTACATTTCAGACGAATGATGATAATGAGAATGAGGAGGATTGATGAAAATGATGAGGAAGAGAATGAGGAAAATCAGTAATGAAAATGATCAGAAGTATGGAGATGATAATAATATGATAACACAATGATAATCGAACTAGTAGGGGGGGTGGGGGCGAGTAAATGGAGGATTATTGACAATGAGGGCGATGAGTAGGAGTATAAGTAAGAATGACGACCATTAAACAAAATAGCGAATAGCAAATGATGACAGTGAAGTTAACATGCGCGGATCCAAGTACAATCTGTAATTCCAATTTTAAAAAGGAAACTTAGTTTTAAGATATTATTCATAATTGTATTAGAACCATCTGAGTTTGCTATGCTCGGTACACAAGAAATTATTTATACAGAATTTTTCCATTCCTCATCAGTTAATAAAAAAAATCATTTTGCTGGACGAATACCGATTGTTGATGATGAGTAAAGAATCGATGATGATAACAAGGATTAGTGATAATATAATGAGAATTTGAAAAATAGTGACGATATCGATATGTATGGTGATTACTTGCAATAGCTCGCAAAATAGATTTTTTTTTTAAATGCTTGTAATTCCAAACCATATTTTTGTTGACAAACTGCTATGTTTATTTCAGGATTATTGATCTATGTTTGCTATGGATACAAGAACAGCAACGCTAACCAAGATGCGATTGCATTTGTACCACTATCAGACACGCATTTACTCGATGTTGAAAACTCACACAGCGGGGGTGTATCCACATATGGTGGAACCACAGAAAAACAGGAACAGGCAGCCGCCGATGATTGATAATTGCAAATTGAGTTCATCAATTGTTGTTATAGTTTCAAAATGGACATTTACGTTAAGCTCCTCGAATTGGATATTACATGACCCCAAATCCACAGTGTAAAAAACTTACGCAAACACGTGCGTTACTGGGACAGCACATGTTTTTGGGACACATTCGCATTAATGGTCTTTTTCTGATTGGTCATTTTTTAAGTTTGATTGACACGTCGGAGGTTGTTTTAGGTTACAGTATAATGCACCGAAATAACACCAAAAGAAAAAATGTTATAAAATGTGTTATTTAATTGAAACTCCACTTCAGAAAGAAAACTTCGCCTCAGGAGTAGGCCCAACACTTGGGAGCAGTTATAGGAAAACTCTAAAAAAAATAAATAAAGTTCGAAGACGGCAACTGAAATTATTTTGAATAATTACATTAAAGCACTGTAGTATTATTAACTTTCACTGTATGTTGCTCCACTGTAACATTCAAATTGGGCCTAGGCCTGGTCTAAAATTACAGATCCAACCATGTTGAACTCAAGTATTTTCAATTAAATTATGATTTTCTAAACGCCCGAAAATAACACTTGAGGCGTTCTGGGCTATCGTTTTTTTCTTTTTCTTTCTTTTTTCCCCCTTTTTTTACCTCCCAAAAAAGGGGGAGGGCTGGGGCCGGGCCGCCGCCCCTAAATCCGCCTCTGTTGGCATCTTCCATCCTGTAAGTGGCGAGTGTACTTGCTGTTGGATGTGAAGAAAAAAAAGTAAAAATAAAATACTGAAATACATTTTTTTTTAAACACAGTAATCATTAAACTAAATTCCTGATTCCTGATTCATCAATACCCAACAAACACAAAACGTCATCATAATTTTTGCGAACGTTGTAGTTCATCTCTGATGTCAGAAAATGACGTTTATAAAACCTTGCAACAACGTTTAGGCCTATTTGTGAAATTACCTTGACAGTAAATACGTACCTGTAGTTATGGTTCTACAAACACGTACAACAAACTAAAACGCTATTATGACTTTATAAACCGGAGAATTGTTCCATGTTAAATTGCAATTAGCAATTATTGTACTGTAAAAAGTGTTTAGATTCTAAAAATGTAGTCTGTAGGCCTACCCATTTTTTCACATGTTTAGCTGGAAATAGGTCCTATGTTTAGATGTTAAAATCATTAGGGTTTTAACACATGTTAAGATCCTTAAATTAAATTAAGAGTAAAGTAGTTTAGTTTATAGTAGTGTTAATATTTCTGGTGTCTCTTTCCATTGTAAGATATTTTCTTCCAGATACCCTTTTCAGGGAATGCTGTGAATGCTAGAAAAGCTAAATTTAGATTGACAAAATATTTCAACATTCCATAGTATTATTGCAGTATTTATTTAATTTTCAAAATGTTATCAAAAGATACAATAAATATTTAAGTTAGCTAATTGACAAGTAAACCATATTAGGCTTACTGGTATGGAATAACAACAGTGTCGGACTCATAGACGGTAATATTATTGTAGCAGTATTGACGGCTGCTGATGTACGATTAGTGTAACGATTGATCACATAATTAAGGTGCTAGGGAATCAAGCTTTATGGTTATCCCCGAGATAAATATGGTTTAGTCTATGGACAATTTATTTATTATAACATTGACATGTATTTTCTATATATGAAGAATATATAACTTGTGAAATATAATTAAAACGTGCACATAAATATTATATATGGTAATCGATTAATGATGAAGAATATTTATATCCAACTCTGTTAGCAATTAAATTTAAATTTAAAAGCAACCATGATGCGTAATCGCCTTTATGAATATAATTTATTATTTATTTAAAGTAAATGATTGTAACGATTTGGTCGATTTTCCGTTAACAAAATTTATGACATGTTGTTAAGTAATCGCACAATATTTGAAATTGTCTGATGCGTGATGACACAAATTACTGTTGGTCTAGACCAGGATTTAGCCGTAGCTCACTGTTTAAATTATTATTATTATTATTTAAAAATATTAAATATAATAGGCCTATAGATATGTTATTAGGCCTATAATAATTTTAAAACTTACCTGTATAATATGTTCAGACTTTTACATGATTAGTTGCCTAACCAAGATGGAAAGCGTGTATAGGCATACTATCTACCATGGTTCGGCAATCCAAGACCAATATTTCAGAAAATAATTTCCCAAAATCCAATAATAATCAACGATTAGGGTACAATGCATGTCGGGAGTATATTTGCTTGCACTTAATTAACGGTGCGAAACCCGCTGGTGACGCATTAAGAGTTCAGTATATCAATGTTAGGTGCATAATAGAAGGATGCTCGGCTTAACCATGGTTTAACGACATGTTTAAACGTGTTTTCAGCAACGGTAGATATTCTCTTTATTTCTTATATAGGCCTAGGCCTAACTACTTCAAATGACATAATACCGCTCGTGGCCCATAGGAATTATTACAGTAAAATAATATTAATTTTAAAAAATCCAAAAATGGATTGAAATGGATCAAATTCAAACTACCAATTAAATTAACGGTGTTTGTTGTAAATATTTGTAAAATATTGAATTTCTGATAAAATTTGCCACAGTGCTCCATACCGGTTCCTTCTATAAAAGTGACCAAGTTACATCTATTTTGGGCGTCATTGGGTGCGACACCGTCTCTTTTGGACGAATTCCACCACAGTACTGTACTAAGAATCACCATACTGGATGGTGTACGGTACAGTCAAATGACCTTAGGAAAAAGGGCCCATAAAAAATGGCCCCAGAAAGAAAATAGCCCTGGAAAAATGACTCCGGTAAAAATGGCCTCCAATGATAACATGTTTTTTAAATCTTTCAACTGCAAAATCTTTTCAACTTTCAATGCTGCAAAATAGCAAAAATTTAATCAACATAAATCATATGCATTTTTCAAACCAATTTAGGTTTTTTTGCAGGAATTATATAAAAATGTAATATCATAGTTCATAGATTAAAACAATAAGTAGTAGGCCTAAATAACATTACAACTTTAACATTATAAAATTGACTTTTTTGTATTTAAAAAATTACAAAATGTTTTAGATCTTTATAATGTAGGAACTAAATTCCTGCTAAAAAAGTTTAAAAAAATTATAATTATTAACGTTATTATTAACATTATTATTATTATTATTATTATTATTATTATTATTATTATTATTATTATTATTTAGTAGTATTAGTATTATTAATGTTGCTGTTCTTGACGTTTTTTTGCTGCCGTTGTTTTTTTAGTATTAGAATTAATGACAGTTCTGTTACACAAGATTTGGAGACTAATCGCTTGTAAACTTCGGAACACATTTTTTGAGAAAGACGATTTTTTGTTTCTCAAACTCTAGCAAGATAAATATTGGAAACTTGCACACCTGAACCTTTGGATCAATTTATTATTTGTGATGTATTCATCTCAATGGGTAAAACACACGATATTTGCATCCTTGCTCTGTATGGTAAATAATCTACTAAAATAATAACTTGTGTAGTCAATTCTTGATTAAAATAATAGAATAATAATAATAATAATAATAATAATAATAATAATAATAATAATAATAATAATAATAATAATAATAATAATAATAAAAATAATAATAATAATAAAAATAATAAAAATAAACAGATAAAAATCAACCTGACTCTAGTGCGGCAAAGCTTAATTTGGATAAAATAATTGCACGACAGTATTTGGGAATCGAGGCATGACCCATTTCACCTAGTGAAATTTGTTCTATTCGGTGAGTAGCTTTTCACTAGTGTTGTTTAGTTTAGTTTTTATTTGGAGTCACTTTTTTACTAGCACACATCACCATTGACGGTGCATCTAAAAACATAATCAAAATAATGGAAAGAAAAATATCTACTAACAAGTCAAATTAGCAACAATAACAGCTGGTAATTCAAGGACACAGATCACCAATGATGCGGCGCATACGGATAGAATCACGGTTAAATTTCAACATATTGACTACATAATAATCTCATTATTTCCAACATAATTGACTACTTACGGAAAATAATATTAAAGATAACACACCGGTTCATTATCAAAATACATTCTAGTCGTTGGTCATTGCATGGTTAACTATACAAGATAATAGGCCTACACAACAATCAATATATAGCTTCGATAATATCTTTTAAGCCTCAAGCCTACTTATGGCATTTTGATTAAACCATAAACAGAACTGAGCAAGAATTATCTCTAAAATAAATAAATAAGAAATCGCATATCGACTCCAGGTACGGATATCGTTTATTGTAGGCGTGCTATGTGAGGCAAGTGGATATATACTACTACCGAATAGACGAATAGCCCCACGCATCACGCGATGCACATAATTTCGTCATCATTTTGTATAAAACTTAATTGGTTAATACTTTTAAAAAAACAACTCACAGTTTCTTTGAAAAAATGTTGTTTTATAGTGTTTATGATTATTAATTTTTAAAAATGTAATGTCTACTTCAATTGAATTAGATTGCGAAATGCTGCATCCATGGCTATATTTATTTATATATTTATTGATTCATTCAAGTTATATTGCTTGTTTATTTATTTACTTATCACTTACGTACTTACTTACTTTATGCATTAAATTTTTGCCATAATATCCATTTATTTAAGAAAGAACTATAGCATAATAATAGCAAAAATAATAATATCAACAATACTTAGAATAAATAATGAAATATGCAAAAAATGATGAAAATAATGATGATGATAATAATAATAATAATAATATACACGTCACTTAAATACTATAATATTTAAATATAATTTGTATTTGTAAGTGTTGTAAGCAGTTTATTACCTTATGATGTTGATATCATTACGCCATGGTGACGACAAGACACAACAAGCTAGGTTCCATCCTGATTGTAAAAAAAAAATACACTACATACAGTAAATACAGTAATTAGTAATTATCAAAGATGAAATTCAGTTTTATTATCGAAGTACAATACCGCCGATTTCTCCTTTACAAAACACGATAACAATATAAATCGTGGATAAAATAGAATCTATGGCTCATTAAATAGACGATGATAAAAAAGCAACTAGAACGAAATGCATTTATCATCATTTTCCAGTTGGTAATAAAATCCTCTTTGACGTAATATTTTAATCGAATTTTTATGTCTCATGGTAGTTCAAAGATAAGTGTTCTAC